TATTCTTCGGTTTTTGGATGGAATGCTCTGTATATATCTACTAGGTCCATCTGTTCTAGTGTATCATTTAAGGCCAATGTTTCCTTATTGAGCTTCTGTTTGGATGATCTATCCATTGGTGTAAGTGGAGTGTTAAAAAAGGAATTGAACAGACACTTCTCCAAAGAAGATATACAGATGGCCAATTGGCATATGAAACGATGTTCAACATCACTAGTCATCAGGGAAATGCAAATCAAAACCACACTAAGATATCATCTTACACCTGTTAGAATGGCTATAATCACCAAGACAAAAAAACAACAAATGCTGGAGAGGCTGTGGAAAAATGGGAACCCTAATTCACTGCTGGTGGGAATGCAAACTGGCACAGCCTCTACTGAAAACGGTATAGAGATTCCTCAAAAAATTAAAAATACAAATACCTTACGATCCAGCTATCCCACTACTGGGTATCTACCCAATGAACCTGAAATCAACAGTCCAAAGAGGCTTATGCACCCCTACGTTCATCGCAGCATTATTCACTATAGCCAAGGCATAGAAGCAACCCAAGTGTCCCTCGACTGATGAGTAGATAAAGAAGATGTGGTATATATATATACACAAAGGAATACTACTCAGCTATAAAAAAAGACCAAATCATCCCATTTGCAACATGGATGGACCTGGAGGGTATTATGTTAAGTGAAACAAGCCAGAAAAAGAAATACAAACACCACATTATTTCACTCATAAGTGGAAGATAAACCAACACATGGACAGAGAGAACTGTTTGGTGGTTACCAGGGGCAAGGGGGATAGGGGGTAGGCACAGGGGTGAAGGGGTTCATTTATATGGTGACTGACAAACAATAATGTACAACAAAAATTTCACAGTAAAGAAAAAGAAGAAATGCTAGAGATCTAGAACACTGTAATAGAAATGAAGAATGCCTTTGAAGGGCTTATTAGAAGAGGAAAGAAACCTCTTACCCATTAGCAGTCCCTCCCCTGTTCTGTCTCTATGGATTTGCCTATTCTGGATGTTACATATAAATGAATCATACCGTATGGGTGTTTTGTGTCTGGCTTCTTACACTCAGCATACTGTTTCCAAGGTTCATTCATGTTGTGCCATAAAGCAGTACTTCATTTCTTTTTATGGCTGAATAATATTCCACCATATGTATGGTGGAAACAGCTGAGGAAAGAATCTCTGAGCTTGAGAGTATCTCAACAGAAACCTCCAAACCAAAAGAAAGAGAAAAATAGATTAAAATAAAAAAGAATATCCAAGAACTATGGGACACCTACAACAGATGTTACATATGCATGTTAGGAGTACCACAAGGAGAAGAAAAATAAAAAAGTTCAGAAGAAATATTTGTAACAATAATAACTGAGAATTTCCCAAATGAATGTCAGACAACAAACCATAGATCCAGGAAGCTCAGAGAACACCAAGTAGGGTAAATTCCAAATACATGACACCTAAGCATATCATTTTCAAACTACATAATATTAAAGATAAAGTCCTGAAAGAAGTCACAGGAAAAATAACATTTTATATATGGAGGAGAAAATACAAAAATTATGTTCAATTTATCCTTGGAAACTATGCAAGCAACAAGACAGTGGAGTAAAATAGTTATAAGTGTTGAGAGAAAAAAAACCCACCAATCTAAAATTCTGTACTCTGCAAATTATCCGTCAAAAGAGAAAGAGAAACACAGACTATCTCAGACAAACAAAAATTGAGGATATTTGTAGCCAGAAAAGTTAAAAGAAGTTCTTTAGAGAGGAAAAATGATATAGGTAAGAAACTTGGATCTACTGAAATAAAAGAGAGAAAGAGAGAATTTGAGACGGCATAGTTAAGGTAAAATTTCTTTTTAATTTTTTATTATTAATTGATTTAACAGGAAGCACTGTTCAAAATAATAAAAAATAGCAATAACGTAATCAATTATGCATACATACACACATACATATGTGCTTATATATAAACAATATGAATAACAGCAATGATACTAGGGGCAAGAGGGAGGATTTAGGATTATTTTGTTTTGTAAGATACTCACAATACCCATGAAACACCATAGTATTATTTGAAAGTGGACTTGGATTAGTTGTAAATGTATATTGCAAACTCTAAGGAAAACTGCAAGAGAAGTAAAAAAAGAAATGTAAGTTATATGCTAACAAAGAAGAGAAAATGGAATCATATAAAATGCTCAATTAAAATGCATATCAAAAACAGTCTTTCCCTCTTATCTTGGGGTAAAACCAAGTTCTCTCCTCTGTGTCTTTCCTGTGAGTCTCCTTTACTACTCACACGAAACACCTACACTTTTGACACTTCTGGTCACCAAATGTGTGGAGGTTTTACCCCACACCAAGCAATGCTCTACAACACCAGCTGGGTGTGCTATCATTTAACTTAATCCTCACAATATCTACACAGAGATAGACTGCTCCCACCCTACTTCAGATGCGAATTGCAAGTAGTAGGTGCCCAGATGACCCACAACTTCTGTCCAACTTGGCTACAAATTAGGGGTTCCCATGAACCCCTCCTCGGGTTCAATTAATTTGCTAGAGCAACTCACAGAACTCAGGGAAACACTTATGTGCGTTTACGAATTAATTAAAGGATATGATAAAGGATACAGGTGAAGAGATACATAGGGCAAGATCTAGGCGAGTCCTGAGCGCAGGAGCTTCTCTCCCCGTGGACTTGGGGTGCATCACCCTCCCAGTGTGGATGTGTTCACCAGCCTGGAAGCTCTCTGAATTCCCTACTATTGGGATTTTTATGGAGGCTTTCTCACATAGGCATGACCAACTATTAACTCCATTTCTAGCCCCTCTCCTCTTTCTAGAGGATAAGGAATGGAGCTTCTAATCATCATTTGATCTTTCTGGTGACCTGCACTCATCCAGGAGTCATCCAGGAGCCCACTCAAAGTCACCTCAATAGAATAAAAGACTGCTCCTAACATTTGTAATTTACAAGTGTTTTAGGGGCCATGTGTCAGGGACAGGGTCAAAGACAAATATTAGAGCAAGAGATGCACCTAGAGTTCTTATTACTTAGGAAATTACAAAGATTTCAGGAGTTCTCTGCCAGGAACTGGGGGCAGAGACCAATGTATATTTTCTATTATCTCACAAAAACCACAAAAAGGAGAGAAAAAGTAGAAGACAAAAATAGAAAGAGGGAACACAGGCAACAAGTAGAAAACAGAAATAAATAAGGTAGATGTAAGTCCAACTATATCAATAATCACATGGAACATCAATGGTCTAAATGCAACAATGAAAAGACAGAGATTGTCAGAATGGATCAGAAAGAAGACCCAACTATATATTGTCTATAAGAAATCTACTTTAAATATAAAGGCACATATAAATTAAAAGTAAATGGATGGAGAAAATAGTGTTACCATTCTAACACTAATCAAAAGAAATGAGGAAAAGTATATTAATTTCAGATAGACAGAGTAGACTTCGGAGCCAGGAAAGTTATCAGGGATAAAGAGGAGCATTACATAATGATAAAGGAGTCAATTCTCCAATAAGACATAACAATCCTTAATGTCTATGTGCCAAAAAAGAGCATAAAAATATATGAGACTAAAACTAATAGAACTAGGAGGAGAAATAGATGAATCCATTATTATACTTGGTGACTTCAACACTCCTCTATCAAAAATGTACAGATCCCACGACAGAAAATCAGTAAGAACATAATTGAATTCAACAACACCATCAATCAGCTGGATATAATGGGCATCTATAAACTACTTGATTCAACAACAGCAGAATACACATTCTTCTCAAGCTTGCATGAAACATTCACCAAGATGCACTGCATTCTGGACCATAGAGCATATCCTAATAAATTTGAAAGAATGGAAATCATACAATGTGTGCTATCAGAATGCAAAAAAATTAAACTAGAAATATTAAAGCCAAAATAAGCAGAAGAAAAGAAATAATAAGAATAGAGCAGAAGTCAATGAAATTGTAAATAGGGAATCAATAAAGTCAATGAAACCAAAAATGGGTTCATTGAAAAGAATGATGAATTTGATAAGCCTCTAGCCAGGCTAAGAAAAAATAAAACAGAAAATACAAATAACTACAATCAAAAATGAAAGAGGGGACATCACTTCAGATCCCATGGACATTGAAAGGATAATCAAGGAATATTATGAACAACTCTATGTCCACAAATTTGATAACCTAGATGAAATGGACCAATTTCTTAAAAGACACACTCTGCCAAAACTCACACAAGAAGAAATAGACAATATGAATAGTTATATCTATTAAATAAATTGAATCAATAATTAATAACCTTCCAAAACAGAAAGAATCAGGCCCAGATAAGTTCCCTAGTAAATCCAACCAAACATTTAAGGAAGAAAATCTATCAATTCTCTACAACGTCTTTCAGAAGATAGAAGCAGCGGGAATATTTCCTAACTTATTTTGTGAAGTGAATGTTACCCTAATATCAAAACTAGGCAAAGACATTACACGAAAAGAAAACTACAGACCAATATCTCTCATGAACAGACACAAAAATCCTCAACAAAATATTAGCAAATTGAATCTAACAATGTATAAAAAGAATTATACACCACAATCAAGTGTGATTTATCCCAGGCATGCAAGGCTGGCTCAACATTCAAAATCAACTAATATAATCATCACATCAACAGGCGAAGAAGAAAAATCACATGATTGCATCAATAGCTGCCAAAAAAAATTTGACAAATCCAACACCCATTTATGACAAAAATTCTCAGTAAGCTAGAAATAGAAGGTAACTTTCTCAACTTGATAAAGACTGTCCTACCAAAAAACTACAGGTAACATCCTAATTAATGATAAGAAACTCAAAAGCTTTTCCACTAACATCTGGAACAAGGCAAAAATTTCAAACTGATTTTTACCATCATACTAGAAGTCCTATTAAATGCAGTAAGATGAGAAAAGGAGATAAAAGGTATACATATCAGAAGGAAGAAATAAAACTCTCTTTTTTCACAGGTAAAATGATCGTCCATGTCAAAAATCTGAAAGAGTTTACCAAAAAACTCCTGGAATTAATAAGTGATGATAGCAAGGCTGCAGGATACAAGATTAATACACAAAAGCCAATTGCTTCCCTATATAACAGCAATGAACAAGTGGAAATTGAAATTAAAAGCACAATACCATTTACAATAGTACCCCCCAAATGAAATACTTATGTATATGTCTGATAACATAAGTACAAGATCCATATGAGGAAAAATACAAAACTCTGATGAAAGACACCAAAGAAGAACTAAATCAATGGAGAGATAATACATGTACATGGATAGGAAGACTCAATATTGTAAAGATATCAGTTCTTTCCACTTGGCCTATGGATTCAGTGCAATCCCAATCAAAATCCCAGCAAGTAATTTTGTGAATATTGACAAACTGATTCTAAAGGTTTTTTGGACAGACAAAAGACTCAGAATAGTGCAAACAATATTGCTGAAGGAGAAGAACAAAATTGGAGGACTGATGGTACCCAACTTCAAGACCTACTATAAAGCTACAGTAATCAAGACAGTGTGGTACTGGTGAAAGAAAAGACAAATAGATCAATGGAACAGAATAAAGAGCCCATCAATAGACTCACATAAACATAGTCAATTAATCTTTAACAAAGGAACAGAGGCAATATAAAGATAGTCTTTATATTGAGAAAAGATAGTCTTTTCAAAAAATGATGCCAGAACAATTGGACATCAGCATGTGAAAAGAAATGAATCTAAACACAGACCTTACATCTACACAAAAATTAACTAAAAATAGATCACAGACTAGATGTAAAATAAAAAACTATAAAGCTCTTAGAAGAAAACAGTGGAGAAAAATCTAGATGACCTTGGGTTTGGCAAAGATACAACACCACAGGCACAATTTATGACAGAAAGAATTGATAAGCTGAGCTTCATTAAAATTAAAATTTTCTTCTCTGTGAAAGACAATGTCTTGAATAAAAATTAAATTGAAAGGGAAAGTAAAATTAAATGAAATAGACAAGCCACAGATTGGGAGAACGTATTTTCAAAGTCTAATGAGTCACAGGGCATTGGGTAGAGTACTCAGAAGGGTGTTATCAAAGTAGTGGGGAATAACTTTCCCTAGGATAATGGCTGCTCTGACCCCAATGAAAAAATATTAAAAGCAATATGCAAAGGATCAAACTATTTCTAAATACTGTATCCCAGAAAAAGGTCAAGAATATTTTTAGGCACACAAAAATATCCAGCACCCCAACAAGATAAAATTTGCAATGTTTGGTATCCAACTAAAAACTACTAGCATGCAAATAAGCAGAAAATTATTATGCAAAATCAAGAATAAAACTAGTCAATCCAAACTCATCCAGAACTGACACAGATGTCAGAATTAGTAAAGAAAAAAGTCCCAAATAGTTATTACAACTGTGTTCCATATGTTCAAAAAGCTAGAAGTCAGACAGAACATGCTAAATAGAAAGATACTACAACCCAAATTGTACATGTAGAAATGAAAAATATAGTGTCTGAGACGAAATATAATACACTGGATGAGATTAGTGACAGGTTAGACAGCTTAGATATTGAAGAAAAAATGGTTAGTGGTTTGAGGACATAGCAATAAATACTTTCCAAATGAAACACAAAGAGTAAAAGATTCAAAATAAGAAACAAAAGAACAAAATGAGGATAGCATCAGCTCCAGTAGTCAGAAATACAACTTCAGTTAGTCTAAATTATGTATAATTGGATGTCTGAAAACGAGAGAGAAAAAATATTTGAAGAAGTAATGGTCAACTCTTTTCTAAATTTAATGAAAATTATAAACCCAGAGATTTAAGAATCCCAACACACCCTAATCACAATAAACATGAAGAAAACTACACCAAGACACACTATAATAAAACTGCTCAAAATCAGTGAATCTTAAAAACACCCTAAAACTGGGCCAGCCCCGTGGCTTAGCGGTTAAGTGCGTGTGCTCTGCTACTGGTGGCCCGGGTTCAGATCCCGGGTGCGCACTGACGCACTGCTTCTCCGGCCATGCTGAGGCCACATCCCACATACAGCAACTAGAAGGATGTGCAACTATGACACACAACTGTCTACTGGGGCTTTGGGAAAAAAAAAAAAGGAGGAGGATGGGCAATAGATGTTAGCTCAGACCCGGTATTCCTCAGCAAAAAGAGGAGGATTAGCATGGATGTTAGCTCAGAGCTGATCTTCCTCACAAAAATAAATAAATAAAAAGAAAAACTGTTTAAAAAAACACCCTAAAAGTGAAATAAAATAAAGACTTTTTCAAACATACAATAGGTAAACGAATTCATCAGCAGCAGGCATGCACTACAAAATCATTTCTGAAAACCCTTCAAGTAGGAAAAAAATGATACCAGATGAATATGACTATAATAAATGAAATTAAAAGCATCAGAATTGATAACTGTGTGGGTAAATATATATGATTTTTTTCACAATATTTAAATATCTTTAAAAGATATTTTACTGTTTAAACAAAAATAATGGCAATGTAACATGGTATTTACAATATATGCAAAAACAAAATTTATAACAGCAAGCAATAACACAAAGACTGAAATGGAAGTATACAGTTGAAAAATTCTTAAACAGTATTTGAAATACTATAATATCAGTTGGAGGTGAAAGTTAAAGAGATATACTATAAATCCCAAAGCAATCACTAAAATAACAAAGCAAAGAATTATATCTAAAAATTAGTAAAGGAAATGAGTCAGAATTATAAAAAAAGTCAATTAATCTTAAATAAGGCAGAAAAGTGATTAAAAGGGTATAAAGAACTAAGGGAGCAATAATGAAACATATACTGAAATGGTTCATTTAAAACTAACTGTATCAATCTTCACATGGTCTCAATGCCCAAAGTAAAAGAGAGAAATTGTCCAATTAGACAGAAAAGAAACATTTAACTATATGATTCCTGCAATATACCCATTGTAAATATAAAGAAATTGATATTTTAAAAGTAAAAGGATGAGAAAGAAGATATACTATCCTAATACTAACTCAAATAAAGCTAGCGTGTCATTATTAGTATCAGACAAAGTAGATTTTATTGCAAAGAATATTACCAGGGATAAAGATGATCATTTCATAGTGATAAGGGAATCAATTTCTTAAAAGAACATAGCAATCCTAAACATTTATGGACCTTATAACAGAGCTTCAAAATACATATGGCATAAAATAGTAACACTGAAAGTTGAAATACACAAAAATAAATTATAAATGGAGACATCAACAAAAATAGACAAAATCAGTAAGACAGAAGACTTGAATAGCACTATCAATAAATTTCAGAGAACTGACATTTATTGAAAAATATGCCTAACAACAGCTGAATACATAGAGGATTTCACAGATAAAGTCTACCAAACATTTAAAGAAATAATACCTAATTCTATATAAACTCTTCCAAAAATCTGAAGACGATGGAATACTTCCCAACTCATCTATGAATTAAGCATTACTCTAGTAACAAGCATACAAAGGCATTACATGAAATGAAATCACAGGCGGATATCCCTCATGGTCACAGGTGCAAAAATCCTTAACAAAATTATAGCAAATGGAATTCTTTACTATATAATAAGCATAATATATCATGACCAAATGGGGTTTATTCCAGGAAGAGAAAATTGGTTTAACATTTAAAAATCAATCCATATAAGTCACTAAAACCAAAATAGTCACTAACCAAAAAAGAACAAAAAAATTGATCATCTCAAAAGACAGAAAAATCACTCGAAAAAATCCAACATCTATTCCTTATAAAAACAGCCAACGAAGTGGGAATAGAAGATAACCTTACCCTGATAAAGAGCATCTGTAAAAACTATAAAAAAGCACTACCACCACCATCTTACTTAGTAGTGAAAGATTAAAGGCATTCATCCTAAAGTCAGAATGAAGCAAAAATGTCTACTCTTGCTTACTTCTATTCAACACTGCACTGGAAGTTCCAACAGTGAAATGAAGCGAGAAGAAGCAATAAAATCCATCCAGACAGGAAAGGAAGAAGTAAAATTGTCTTTATTCACAGATGGCATCATCATCTATGTAGAAAATGCAGTGGAATCTACATAACAGATACTAGAACTAAAAATCGAGTTTAGCAAGTTTGCTCAATTCAATATCAGTACACCATATCAATTTTATTTATATACTAATAACAATCAAAAATTGAAATTTTAAAAGATATTATTTACAATAGCATAAAAATATGAAATATCTATATGTAAAACTTATAAAAAATGTGCAAGACCTGTACAATGAAAACTATAAAACGTTGATGAGAAATTTTTAAAGGTGTAACCAAATTGAAAGATTCATTATGTCCATGATTCTGAAGACTCAATATCATAAAGATGACAATTCTCCCCAAAATTGATCTATAGCTTCAATGTAAAGCCAATAAAAACCTCGGTGGGATTTTTGTGGGAATTTACAAGCTTATGTAAAAATTCATATGGAAATGTGAAGGACCTAGAATAGCCAAAGCAACTTTGAAAAGAACAAAGTTGGAGAGCTAACACTGATTTCAAAATACATTTATTAAGACAGTATGGTATTGATATAAAGACAGATAAAAGGATCAATGGAATAGAAAGAGAACCACTCAAATGTGGACAACTGATTTTTGTTAAAGTTGTGAAGGAAATTAATTGGAGAAAGTATAGTCCTTAGAATACTTGGAGCTGAAACAATGGGGTGACCATATGTTAAAAAATATAACATCACTATACACAAAAATTCACTCAAAATGGATCATAGACCTAAATGTAAAACCTATAATTATAAACTCTCTAGAAGAATACATAGGGGAACATAGTTTTGTTCTTGGATTAAGTAAATATTCCTTAAATACAATACCAAAAGAATAATCACAAAAGGAAAAAAAGTAATAAACTGAAGAACTTCATCAAATTTAAAACTTCTGTTATTCAGTAGGTAGAGTTAAGGGAATGAAATGACTGGCCTCAGTCTGGGAGAAAATATTTGCACTTTGTATAACTGATAAAGTACTGGTATCCAGAATATCTGAAGAATTTTCAACCTCTATAATAAGAAAACAAGCAACCGAGGGAAAAATAATCAAATATTTGACCAGATACTTCATCAAAGAAGATATATGAATGGCAAATAAGCACATGAGAACATGTTCAACATCATGAGTAATCAGGGAAATGCAAATCAAAACTACAATGTGATACCAGTACACCTATCAGAATGGCTAAAACTGAAAAGATTGACCATAAAATGTGTTAACAAGGACTTGGAGGAATTGACATTCTGATACGCTGCGGGTGAGGATGTAAAATGCTACAACCACTTTGTAAACATTTGAGCAGTTTCTTTAGAAGTTAAACATATACCTACAATATGATTCAACCGTTCTACTTCTATATATTTACCCACTGGAAAAGAAAGTATGTACATAAAAAGACATGTATGCAAATGTTCATAGAAGTTTCATTTCTAAGCTAAAAACTGGAAGCAATTCACAAGTATATGAAGACACGAATGGGTAAACAAACCATGGTACATTCATACAGTGAAATACTACTTAGCACTAAAAAGCAATGAACTATTGATCATGCAATAACAAACTAATTATGCTCAGTGAAAGAAGCCAATCCAAAAGAGTACGTATCCAGGGCGGCCCCATGGCGTACGGTTAAGTGCACGCGCTCCGCTGCTGGCAGCCCCGGTTGGGATCCCGGGCGCGCACTGACACACTGCTTCTCAGACCACGCTGTGGTGGCCTCCTGCATAAAGTCGAGGAAGCTGGGCATGGACGTTAGCCCAGGGCCAGTCTTCCTCAGCAAAAAGAGGAGGATTGGCATGGATGTTAGTTCAGGGCTGATCTTCCTCACACACACACAAAAAAAGAGTACATATCAACAACAACAAAAAAATATTAAATCCAATTAAAATATGGGCAAAGAACTTGAATAGACATTTCTCCAAAGAAGATACACAAATAGCAAACAAGCATATGAAAAGATGCTCAATCAACATCCTTAATCATTAGGGAAATGCAAATAAAAACCACAATGATATACCACTTCACACCCACTAGAATAACTATTTTCAAAAAAACAGAATATAACTGTTGGCCAAGATATGGAGAAATTGGACTTGTGGATTGCTGGTGGGAATGTAAAATGGTACAGCCACTCTGGAAAACAGTATGATGGGTCCTCAAAAAAATTAATAGAATTACCATATGATCCAGGAAGTTCACTTCTGGGTATATATCCAAAAGCTGAAAGGAGGGACTAAAACAGA